ATCTATCTATCTATCTCTATCATCTATCTTTTCTTAAGGAACTACAGTAGATGTGTCAACACATTAATTAAGGCTTGATAATTCTGGATCATGGGAACTTGAGTTTTCAATTTATTGTTATTCTTTGTGCTTTTCTATACATGTCAAATGCTTCCTGTAAGGACCCACTGCTCTCAGGCAAAGACAAAGAGCATGCCAAGGCCATCTCCTGAGCTGGCACTGGCATCTTTGTCTCTCCCTGGGGTGAGGCCCCAGAGCACCTTCTCCTGGGCAGTGGGAGCTGTCTCAGGACAGAGTTGGCTCATATGCTGGAGCAGAACTGGTTGGTGCATCAGGAAGACCTGGTTTTACGTTTAGGCCCAGCAGTCTTGACTGTCTCTTCTATAGCCTTGTCTGTGCTTCAGTTTCCCTAAGAGGGAAACTCAAGAGGGGTTGGCGCAATGGGATTTCAAAGTCACTTCCAGCTCTGAAGTGGGCTCCTTACCTGGGGCAGCAGAGATGTGACCGGCAGGATTAAGGACTCTTCTGTGGCTGGTGCTGCCTCCAAGGTGGTTAGGAAGAACATGGTGGGGGCCAGGCTGGTGGAGGACTCCTCCATGGTAGCATCTTGGACCTGGTCTTCCGATAATTCTACCTTCTTCATCAGGGAGCTGGGACCTCGGACCAAGGCTCGGCCTGAAACAAGGAGCGAGTGCTCACATCTCCTAGCACAAACCAAAGGGCAGCAGAAACTAGTTCACAAGCTCTGGGCTCAGTCATCATCCCTGCTTCTCATCCTCCTGTGGAGCTGGCCCAGGGATTCTCCTTGAAAACAACATTCCAAACAAGTTCAAGTTGTAGTTGTCTGGGTACAGCCATAGATGGAGGCTGAGAACTGGTAGGCTTAATTAACCCTGGAGAGCTTCCTGGAGGAGGTGAGGTTGGACTAGGGAGCAGCATGCCACAGATGTTGGAGTTGGGGAGGAGTGGGTAGAGACTTTTAAGAAGGCTGAAGGTGAGCACAGCAGCCTCTAATGGACCGGTGAGTGATCCCTTTGAGGTGAGAATCTCTAACCTCATCCATTTATTAAGCACTTGCTGTGTGCAGAGCCCCATCACTGCATCACACAATTGCAAAACCTCTGGGTGGTAAGGGCCAGTTTTAGCATATCTATGTTGTTGTTGTTAAGTGCCTGTTTAGTTGCAGGCGACTCATAGCGACCCTATGAATGAAAGTCCTGGACGCCTGTATAACTTTCATCCTTTCTCCTGGTTCATAGGGTTTCCAGAGGCAAGCCATTATGGAAGTGGATGCCGCTCCTGCTTCCAAGCTTGTTTTAATCGGGGAGCTCCACCAAACACTGTCCACTATGGGTGACCATTCTTGTATTTGACTCCTCAGTGTCACAGTGTTCGGCTTCACAGCAAACACGAGTTACCTCTGTACAGCAAGTAGACAGACATACCAGGTTACACGACCTAGAAGAATGTTTCACCAAAAACAATTAAAGGCAGGCCTGAGGGCTATGGAATAGAGTCACCCACCTTTGGCTTGGGAGCATGACTTTCTATTCGCTAGGCCAACTGCTCTCTCTTTCTCTCTCTGCCATCAAGTCATAGGCAACTCATTGCGACCCTATGAACAAAAGTCCTGGACACCTGAATAACTTCTGTCTTTTTTCCTGGTTCATAGGGTTTCCAGAGGCAAGCTATTGTGGAAGTAGATGCCACTCCTGCTTCCAAAGCCCATCTATAGGGGAGGAAATTGGCTCACTAATTCCCTATGATTCCCACCTCTGACCCCGTACTCCCAACCCATAAATATATAACTCATGAGTAGCTGAGTTTGGATTCAAACCCAGATTTGTCTGAGTGAAAAGCCACTACTTCTAACCACTAAAGCCACCTTCCTGGACACCTGTGGGGTGAGAAGAGCGTGTGCAGGCTCAGAGGATAAGGAACAAAGGGACTGTGAGGGAGCTGGGGCTTCCAGACTTATCCTGCCTCATTTTCTCAGACCAGGTCTGGCTGTGAATTCAGGTGGGTTAGCTGGAGGCTCCCTGCCTGGCAGAAATAATCCCAAGAGGGTAGAAAGGGGCCTTAGGGACCCTTGAGTTTACCCTGTTCATTTTGTAGACAGGGAAGCTGAGCCCTGCCAGCCTGCGGTCACACAGTTGGTCAACAATAGCCTTGTGCCTCCTCCCCACCATATCCATTCTCCTGGAAGGGGCCCCACTGGTCCTGTGGAGCTGGAGGAGCTGCTGCTGAGCTGAGTCCTTACCCCAGGTGTGGCCTCTGGCTTGCGCTCAAGGACGCCAGCACCCCTGTCCACTGACACAGATGACTCTCTGAACCTAGAATCTGAGGCCCCTGCTCTGCCACTTGGAGGACTTCCGCAGCCTGACAGCTGCTTTTGGAGAAATGAAGGGCTGAGCATCCACTCTCCTCTCCCAAGAAGCAGCCCCCGTGTTTGCGGCAGGCTGCCTGCCCCCAGAGGCGCTCTTGTCAAAGGAAGACACTTGGAAGTGGAGGCTACCAGTGGGGCTCAGTGCCAGATGTCAGTGGGAAGGGGCTCTCTGGGCGGAGCAGCTGGAACAGGTGTGCTCAGGTGATGACCGGTCCCCTCTGAATGACCACTGGCTGTTGACTCTGGGGTCTGGACACCCTCCCAGGGCCCTCACACACTGACATCTCCCTCCATTCACCCCTCCTGTCCCAGAAGTCCCCTGGTCATGGGTGGGTTGGCCTTTACCCCTCCACCCCAGCCCCCTGTCGCTTTGTAGGCCCATTCCTTGCACATTCCAGTACCTCGGTGCAGCTTCAACCTGTCCCTGCGTCTCTTGTGCTCTCTGCCATGTTTCTTCATTCTCTCCAGTCCTGGAGACCGGTTCTCCTTCTCAGGGTAGGGCAGTGCCAGCCCCAGCAGCAGGTCCTTGTCACCAAGCAGGCCTGCAGGACTCTGCTCAGGAAGCAGACCCCCTGCTCCAGTCAGCCTGGAGGCCTGCCTGGTAGCGGTGACCACAGTCCCCTCCAGGGCCCGGCCAGGCATGCCTGGGCCCCTCGCTTTCTTGCCCAGGCCCCGCCGGCGGTGGTGGCTGGCTTGAGGTTTCCAGAGCGCAGGGCGAGGGAGTTCAATGTGATTCTCAGGGAGGTTCCGAGTGGGCATTCCAGGTGCCAGTGAGCCTGTGGGATGCAGCTCCAGGAGCGCCAGGAGGGCCAGGAGCAGGATCGGGGCAGCATGGGCATGGGGCCCAGCCATGGCCTCCTTCCTGCAAGAAGAACAGGTCTGTGAGGGCTGCTCCTCAGCCATCCTCCACAGCCCCATGTCCCCACCATCATTGCTTCCCAAAGGGATTGAGGGGGAGGACATTTGGCTTAGTCATCACAATGGCAACTGCTCAGTTGTGACACAATACTGGTGTCTATAGTTGTGTAGTCAAGACATCAAGACATGTGCCAAGAAGCAGCAACGTCAGTTTATAGACTTAAGTGCACCTGATTCAAGCCATAGTCTTTTCAATTACTGCCTAAGCATCTGAAAGTTGGACGACTAAGGATGACAGAGGGAAAATCAGTGCCTTTGAGTTGTGGTGTTGGACAGAGTACTGAATATCCCATGGACTGCCAAAAGAACAAACAAATTCTTGGAGAAGGTGCAACCAGAGTTCTCCTTAGAGGTAAGGATGGTGAAGCTCCGCCTCACACACTGGGCATGTTGTCAGAAGCAGCTAGTCCTTCGAAAGGGACATCATGCTAGGAAGAGTGGAAGGTCAGTGAAAGAGAGGACTACCTTCAATGAGATGGATTGACACAGTAGCTATACCAATGGATTCCAGCATATGAGAGATGCTAAGGACGGCACAGGATGGGGCAAGGTTCAGACCAGTTGTGCTTAGGGGTCCTATGAGTCAGCGTTGACTCAACAGCACATACCAAGTGGGTGTGAGCCAGAAATATTACTAACTACCCTGTAGTGAACAAGACAGACCCCCAATAAAGCAGCTTCAGCGCAATATCAGCAGCGCTGAGCTGGAGAAACTCTACGTTAGAAACTTAAGCAGCATCCAGGTCCCAGATTAACCTAGAAATCCTCTCTCTGCAAAAATCTCTATGTTTGGCCGTGTCCCCTGGAGGACAGCCTGCCCTGGAGGGGCTTAGAAACACCCCTGTGTCCAGGGACTCCATGGAATGCTTGAACTCAAACAAACACAAGAGCTTCTGAGTGCATGCGTCACAGCAGGAGTCCTGGGAAGTCTTCCATGTCACATAGTCCTTTCAACAAGAGTCTAGCAGTACAGTGGTTAAGTGCTTGCCTGCAAACTGAAAGGGGGTTCAAATCCTCCAGCTGTTCAGTGGGAGAAAGACGTAGCACTCTGCTCCCAGAAGAATTTCACTCGAAAATCCCATTGTTATTGACCCTGAGTCATACTGGCCCTACAGTAGGACAGAAAACTGTCTCACAGTCTCTAAGGCGGTGACCTTTATGGAAAGAAACCTAGTGGTGCTCCTGATGTACATTAGGCTGCTAACTCAGAGGTCGATGATTCGAATCCACCAGGTGCTCGGTGGGAGAAAGACGGGCAGTCTCTTTCTATAAAGATTTACAGCCTCAGAAACCCGATACAGGGTCACTATGAGTCAGAACTGACTTGATGGCAGGGGTTTGACTTGAGTTTTGGAACCTTTATGAAAAGGGCCCCTGTGGCACGGTGGCCAAGGTCTCAGCTGCTAATCAAAGAGTCAGGAGTTCCAACCCAGCAGCCACTCTGCGGGAGAAAGTCTATTTTGGTAAAGATTTTAGTCTTGTAAATCCTATGGGGCAGCGCTACTCTGTCCTATTAGGGTCACTATAAGCTGGAGTTGACTCAGTGGCAACAGGTCAGTTAGTTCTTGCAGCAGCTCTCTGGTATGAATCCTATTAGTATATTTTCTTTTTAAAGATAAAATTAAGGCTAAGAGAGGTTGAGCTGAATGGGGTAAGCAGCATCTGTAAGTCACAAACCTGTTCTTGGGGCTCTGGTGGCCTAGTGGCAAAAAGCTGTGCTGCAATCTTGTAGATATGTGGTTTGAAACCACCAGATGCTCCGCTGGAGAAAGAGAGACAATCTCCTCTTACATCAGTAGAATCTGATTCAACGGTACACAACAAGAAAGAAAAGCCTCCCGGTCGACATCTGTGAAGCACGGTTCTGTCCTCTTCCCTTTTCTCTTCCTCCCATGATGGGCCCCACGTCATGTGTCTTATTTTTTTTTTTAATTGAAATTTTAACTAAAGTTTATAGAGAACTTGGATTTCTATTCTTTCATTGTTGCACATTTTCCTCCCTAACCAAGCCCTCTGCCCAGTTTGCTTTTCTTTTTGAAAAAAAAAAAACAAAAAACAACTCTTTCATTGTTGTACAATTCCCCACCTTTATCCCAGTCCACTTGCAGCTGTTATTCTGGACTGTTGTCATGAAAATAATACCTAATCATATATCCCTTTTAAGCATTTCTAGTCCTCATCTCTTTCAATGCAGAGTACATTATTTGTCCCCTCCTTTCTTAGTTTCCCCCCAACCCCAATATAAGTCCTGTTTTATAACAGTGGCATTAGGCAGTATTTGTCCTTTTGTGATGGAGATATTTCATCCAGCATAATATCCTCCAGGGTCACCCATTTTGTATAATGTTTCATTAGTTCCTTTATTTTTCAGTGCTGTATAGTATTTCATTGTATACCACAGCTTCTCTATCCATTCATTTGTTGATGGGCACTTGGGTTGTGTTCAACTCTTTGCTATTGTGAACAACGTAGTAATAAACATGGGAGTGCATATATCTGTTTGGGTGGCAGTTCTGGTTTCTTTAGAGCATATTCTTAGTAGTGGAATTGCTGGGTCAAATGGTATTTCTATTTGCAACTTTTTGAGAAAGTGCTATATTGTCTTTGATAGTGGTTGCACCATTTTACACTTCCACCAATAGTGAATAAGGGTTCCAGTTTCTCCACAACCTAGCCAGCATTTGCTTTTTGCTGCTCTGTTGAATTTTGCTACTCTTACTGAGGTGAGATAGTATCATAGTTGTTTTGATTTTTATCTCTCTCAGACCTAGGGATTTTGAACATTTCTTCATGTGTTTTTTTGCCATCTGAATGTCTTCTTTGGTGAAGTGTCTAATCATATCCTGTGCCCATTTTGCAACTGGGTTGTTTACCTTTATCTTGTTGTGGTGCTTGAGTATTCTATAAATTCTAGATATAAGTTCCTTATCATACATGTCATTACCAAATATTCTTCCCCAGTCTGTGGCTTTCCTTTTTACCCTGTTGGAGAAGTTTTTTGATGTGTATAGAGATTTGATTCTTAGAAGGTCTCATTCATCTATTTTATCCCCTCCTGGTTGTAGGTTTTTCAGGATGCTTGCAAGACTGTTCATGTTGTGGATTAGGGCTTCTAAAGGTCTTCCAAGCTTTTTTCTGATGAAGTTTATAGTACTTGGTTTTAGTCCTAGGTCCTTGATAAGTCAGCAGGGTTCTTCTCTCCTCGCCAGCTATAAGCAGAAAAGGGTGAGGCCGACACAGCACAGTCCCAGGTGAAGCAGGGCTTTGGAGCCAGTTTCAGAGAGTTGACTCTGATCCGTGCAGAGAATAGCCCCCCATTGCTCATGCAAAGCAAGCCTCATGGGGACGCAGGGCTCTGCCCCCACACTGGAGGAGAAACCAGACTCCTGTATCGCTCACTGGACCTCTCAGCTTCCGGGGATGTGAGAGTATATTCCAGATGCTGGAGACCACTCATCCACGGTTCCCACCTGTCTCCACTTCTCCAACCTCACCGCACACAGACAGGCCCGGCACTGGGTCAGCCTGGCTGATTGCATTTTTACGGCCCTTGGGCCTCCCTTCTATTCCATTAGGCTCGCAAAGGTGCTTACACAACTGTTTCTTTGTGATTTGTGGTCATGTAATTGCCCAGAGCTGAGACAAAGTTGCCTGGAAGATTCCCAGCATCGTGCCACCCCCCCCAGGCTCTCAGCCTCTGAGGTTTGTTCACCTCTAACAAATGAAGGGCAGGGGGTGGGGGTGCCCTCTGAGCTAAGCCCAAATGTGAAGTAATGTCTGGAGACTGAGAAGGTGGGCAGGAGGGCAGCCCTCATCCCATCCCTGACCATGCTGGGCTGGATTTCTGGAGGAAGGGAAACATCCTTCTGGCCTCTCAGGCCCCCAGTCTCTCTGGGACTGGGGTGAATTCTCTGAGAATTGCTATTAACCTGTTGTCCTGTCATCTAGACCTGTGTCCTGGCTTCTTCTATCCCACACCTGGCCTGAAAACAGGGTCCTCCCATCCCCTCATTGTCATCTTGCCCAATTATGAGAGTAATTATGGGTTTTCTGGGTAGGCTGTGGTGGTAAATGGGGAACCCTGGGAAAGGATTATTATGACACCTGCCTGCTCCCTGCCCCCCTTTCCGTATCCATTCCTCAGACTCCAAGGACTCGCTCCCACCTCACTGTCATCAAGAGGCTCCTGCCCAGCGGCCTCCCTCCGGCCTCTCCATAATGAGGTGCCTAGGCTGAAGCTAAGCGCAGCTGGATGAGCTCCTGATTCCTCGGGCAGCCCCGTGGGAGGACAACTCGTTTTAAAAGCCTGTCAATCAAGCATTGTTCAGCTCAGACAAGGGACTCAAACTTGGTTGCAGCGTCTGCAGGGAGCTGGCCCCCTCTCCAGGCTGGTATGTGGCCTGAGAGGGGCCAGAGGCAGGAGACAGCACTGGAGGCTGTCCACTACCCTGCTGGGACACTGTACCCACAGTGCTCCCCATCAATAGAGAACCTGACAGGTGTTGGCTAATGAATAGAATCCTTCCCCACACCAGTTTCAGCTTGGGAGAAAAGAGCAGATCTGTGTGAGTCGGCAGAGAGGTGGGCAAGCATGGGCACTTGTCAGTCCCTGAGGACGGTTCTCCTCTCCAGAGACACAAGGGGAGTCCCAGCTCCACACCCTCAGTTCCCACAGCCCTGGATAACCACCCACAATAACAGGTGACGTCTTCCTCTTCCCAACTACGTGCCGTGGCCAAGCCCCTGTTCAGCCACAGGTCCATTCATCCATCATTCATCGTCCTCAAAGCTGCAAACTCTGACTCCCTCCTGCCTTTCACACCCTCTAAGTCAAGGTTGCTACTAGCCTGGCACAGAAGAGGGGAGTCTAGCATGCACCCACACACGTGCCATCTTTCTCCCTAGATGTTGTCAGCTCCACACATTCCTCAGAT